CTTTGCTTCTGCATTTGATATAACTACACCAGTTGAGCTTGACTTCATTTTTAGAATCATAGAATCATAGAGTTGGAAGGGACCACAAGAGCCATCCAGTCCAACCTCCTGCCATGCAAGAACTCAAAATCAAAGCACCTCCAATAGATCCAAACTTTGTTTAAAGACCTCCAAAGGAGACTCCACCACTCTATGAGGCAGTATGTAGGTGCCTGGGTAAAATGCCTACCAATGGCCTATTATTGGTTATTTTCATTTTACTTATGATCCCATAAAATTTATCACAAATAAAATCTGCACTGAAAATAAAAAAATACAATATAAAATATATTTAAAAAAAACAACTAAAATCTATGGGAGAAAAAGAATGTCTTCTTTTATGCCTAACTATGATGATGATGATGAGGAGGAGGAGGCTTCCCCCACAAAACCAGCACTAAAAGATGTTTATATAACATATATATAAGCCAGACAAGTCTTCCCTGAGAAATCCCTGAAAAGTCCAACTCTCTTTAAAAATCTTCATGAATTCATTTGGCAGAAGTATCCAGACAGCAACCTCCCACTCCAGTACCATTCACACCAGGGCTGTGGCTATTGTGGTCCTGAACTGGACCCCTGAAAAGAAGTGGATATTTCCACTCCTTTTTGGCCCATTTTTTTTTTTCAGGATGATGTTGTGTTGGCATGGCTTGCCGCCATGTTCAAGGCATGTGTCATCTAGACGCTACACCCCAAATACAGCCAGAAGCCACATCATTTGGTCCAAGTATTTTGAGCCCTAGTAATCTAGAGGAGATAGTACAATTGCTTCTGAACAAAACCACTCCACTCTGAAGATGAGAGATTTTCATGACTGGGATTAGAAGGGAGAGGATCTCAATTTGTTTGTATTTGTATCCACCTGAATGGCAACAGATAGATTTGATATTTTTAGTAATATGGACTTTTGATTGTCACAAAAATACCTTGGAATTTGCATTTGCAAGGTCTATTCACTGTAAGGACTTTATTGCACCATGTACTTGCTATTGTTATTGCTACACCACCTAGAAAAGTGAAATTTTTACAGGACAAAAGCATCTTATCACACAACATCATGTCCAACCTGCTGTTGCCTTTCCTTCCATTTGTTATAGTAGTACAGCTTTTCATTGACAGGCAAAATCCATAAATAGGGTCTTATTCTCATTGCTATTCCATTACATCCTATGTACAATTCTGCTGCAGTTCTGCTTCTCAGGCAATCATGTGGTGTGAGTGGGCATGATTCTTCTCCTCTCTCATTCTCCTTTGACCAATCACAGTGATCACAGCTGCCAACACCTTCTCAAAGTCAGCTACTGTGTGGACATACACACAGCAGCTGGCTTCAGGGGTCGGGTGGCAGATGTGATAACAGCACTTCACATTGGGAGGAGGTAGACCAACAATTGTAGTGGTCAAGAAATTCTCCAAGCCAGCTGCTGTGTGCAATCATTTGTTCCCACATTTTCCCACCTGGAAAGTGGCATTTTGCAGTGCAGAAAAATAGAGCATGCAACCATGAATCACAAAGTTTGATTATGGGGAGACTGGTATGCTTCCCTTCTTAAACTAGCGTGATTGTGGCCGGACACGCTGGTGTGATAAAGTCCTAAGTTTGGCAAAACAGACTTCCCCAACGGAGCAGCATCATACTACCCCTTTGATCATCAGGTTGGGGCCGCAGCAACCACATGCTACACCTCCAACCCGGCATTTTGCCATCTCAAAAAGAAGTGGCAGAAAGCCACTCCTTTTTAAGCCTGGGAAAAGCTGGCTTTTGTGCCATGGTGGCAACTTTTTGGTGCTCTTGCAGTGATGCCGCCTAAATGCCATTCCACTGGAACATCAAAAAGCTGCTGCTATGTGGTCAGGCAGGCAGCTTCACAGTGGCCTCCCAGTGGCTTGGGGGTGTGCATCATCTAAATGACACACCCCCAAGCTGCCAGTAAGCTGCCATAAAGGGACCATCTGTTTCTCCCCATGTGACCTTTTTCTACATTTCATCTTCACACTCTTGATTACAGAAACTTCATGACTTAACAGCATCAACTCAGTCTCTACCCAAACTTGTTCTTTTTTTTTTTTAAAGGAAAGCATCTTGTCTGATGAGTGTATACTGAAGTTATTAAAACTATCTTCATACCTTTGTGCATATTATGTTGGCTATGAAATAGTAATGTGTGTCTTTAAATTTTCTCCTCCCCTTAACAGAGCAACATAACTTTGTGGCTGTTGTTAACTGCCCTCAAGTTGATCTTGACCCATGGCAACCGTGTGGATGCGACATCTCCACAACTCCCTGTCCTCTACTGCTCTGCTTAAGTCCTGTAAACTAATTAATAGAGTCCATCCATCTAGCATGTGGCTTTCATCTTTACTTCCCTCCATCTTTCCTAGCATTATTGTTTTTGCCAGTGAGTCCTCTCTTCTCATGATGTGCGCCAAGTATGACAGCCTCAGTTTTGTCATCTTGGCTTCTAGGGTGATCTCTGGCTTGATCTGTTCCAGGATCCATTCATTTGTCTTTTTGACTGTCCACAGGATCCTCAGCACTCTTCTCCAGCACCACATCTCGAATGCATTTATTTTCTTCCTATCTGCTTTCTTCACTGTTCAACTCTCACATCCAAACATGGTAATAGGGAAAACAATGGCTTCTATGATTCTCAGTTTTTTGTTTAGTTTTCTATTTTGCCTTTTAGAATCTTTTCTAGTTCTTTCATATATGCTCTCCCTATTCTTATTTTTTTTGTAATTTCCTGGTTGCAGTTCCCATTTCTATCAACGGTTTCTTTTCTTCTCTCTTGCTTGGTTTTATCACATTTTCAGATTGCATTGCCTTGTATTTTCCTTTTTTCTAATGGTAACGCTTCAGTATTTTTTTACTTAAGGTTTTCTTTTTGTTTGTTTGTTTGGCTTTTTTAACTTACGGCATTTTATAAAGTCTATTTTAATTGCTTAGTATTGATTTTAAAAGTGTAAGCCTCCTGTGCTTCTGAGAATAATTATTTAGTGTTGATTTCAAAGTGTATCCTCCTGTGCTTTTGAGAGTAGCAAAACTAAATTAAAAAACACAGATGCATACTCAACAACTCTGACAGACTTCATTGCCAAAATCTTTGCTGCCTTTTTCTTGTTTTGAAAAACATGTAAGAGAAAAAAAGTTTTGCATAAATTGATGCCTGAAATAAAATAGAATTAATGACTCAGAGTAGCACATGTACATAGATTATTTTGGCTGTTCAGATGCTTAATAATTTTAAAAATAATTTTGTATGAGCTTTTGTGGGTTACCACCCATTTTTGCAGATGCTGTATAAGGAACAGAATGCTTTGAATTCAAAAGAAAATGCATGCTGCTATGAATTCTTAATTCTATACAATAAAGATTATCCTGATTGTGATTATTTTATTTTGAATAATACTTTTAATTTTGTCTTTCCTGTGCGTCTCTTTTGTTCATGGCTTCATGTATTCATCTGTGTGTGTGTGTGTATTTTATTGTTGTTGTTACTAAAAAGTAAATAGAAGGAATGTGGACTAATATTAATATTATGATAAATTAGATTAGAGAAGGAATTTAGAAGAATAATGGGGTTAATAATTTGTTAAGAAACCAAATAGAGAGAAAGCACAAAGTCTTTTTTAAAAAAAATGGGGGAAAAGAGGAAGAGAGAAAGGGGTTGGATCATTTGTCTATATTCATGTGTTACATTTTAAACAAAATTATACTTTCAAAAACACACGTCATTATTTGCCATTGTGAAGAAAACCCACCCTGTGAATCCTGCAACTGGTCACAGTACTCTGAGAGACAGAGAAGGGAGTGGGAAGATGTATAGGATGAGGAAGCAACAGAGCAACCAACACAAAGGGGGAATACAGTAGTGAACTTTATTACCTATCTGTACTTCTATTGCTCTCCACATTCATATTTTCCTTGTATATATGTATAGGTCTGAGCTCTAGAAAGCATAGCATCCAGGTGTAAAAGAAGGCAGAACTCCTGCCTTTGTAATGGATTCATACAAATAGAAACTGAATTTCAACAACAACCTCTTACAAGACAAGCTATTAATGGTACCTTGTCCCCTGTTGCATCTGGGATGCCCTCTTTTTTAAAAGACTGGGGAACAGAGGGGATCCCAAATGACAGAAAGGCTGATAGTTCTATTGCACTGTATTAGTAGTTGTTGTTTGCCTTCAAGTCACTTCCATCTTATGGTGACCCTAAGGTAAACCTATCACATTTTGGAAGATTTGTTCCAGCCTTTGCCTTCCTCTAAGTACCTTATCCCACGCTGCTCTCAAAAGTGGCAAGAAAGCGATATGAGCATCATTGCAGTACTATAGCGCTAGTATAAATATGGCGCTAGCGCTATAATAGCGCTATGGATAAGCTAGCGCTATTGCAATGCCCGCTGAAACCGACATTTAAAAGAACCCGAATGATGCTGCATTCCGAGCGGTTTCTTGTTGGATTCTGAGCGACGTCGTGTAATCACCTGGAAAACTATAGCGCTATAGCGCCTGATTTTTAGCGGATTCTGAGCAACGTCGTGTGATCACCCGGAAAACTATAGCGCTATAGCGCCTGATTCTTAGCCGATTCTGAGCGACGTCGTGTGATCACCCGGGAATGTATAGCGCTATAGCGCCTGATTCTTAGTGGATTCTTGCTGCTTTTGGCCCCGTGGGATAAGGTCCTAAGACTGAGAACAATACTGCACTACACTGTTATAGCACAGTTATTCCACATTTACTGCTATAGCTGCTTCCTGTAGCATTCTGAGGATTATACTTTAGTGAGCCCAAAGAGTTCTCTAGCTGAGAATTGTAAATGCCCCTTTCCTAAACTGCAACGCCAGGATTTCACAGGAGGCAGCATAGCAGGAAAAGCGGAATAATAGCACTATCACAATGTAATGTGGTATGAGAATGTGAATTGCCCAAAGTCATATAGTAGGTTTCCATGACTGAGCAGGGATTTGAACTTTGTTCTCCAGAGTTGTAGTCCAACACTCAGACCACTAAACCACACTGTACTCTCAGTCAAAAGCAGCTGGACAAGATGGTTACTAATGAAGATGATTCTGAGAGGGGAAGAATGAAATGGCGGCCCCAACCAACTCACTGGGGAGACCTTGGTAATTCCCATTTCACTCCAACATTGTCAAGTGCTTATACCAGCAGAAAATAATGGGATTGTAAAGTGTTTAACTTTGGGTGAATGTTGGTCTAGGAATGCAGCATCAGCACAGAAAAGTAAAAGATAATAAATGGCATTGTCTCTGGAAAAATAATGTGCTGAGTTTGAGCTCTGCATGCCATCATTTTTGATGATGCATTAGAGTAATATTAATATTTGAACTTCCATGAGTAGATGGACCATGACTATTTTTTCCTGAATAGCTGCCAGTCAATTTTGCCTCATCCTGAACAAGGGAATACAGATATCCTTTTCTCTGGAATGAAACAGCCATTTTTGAGCACATTTCTGTGAATAAAATGTCTCAAGCCATATTACACACCACAGTGATTCATTTGAAAACAAAGGCAAACAGCTCTCAGTCTATTTAACATTTGAACAAATCCCCAAACAATACTCACAGCTGGCTAAGCTGCTGTTTTTAGAGTTGTGTTGTTCTGAAGAACAAAGAATGTATCTCATAGCAACTAGTGGGCACATCAACCAAATTCTATTTCTATCCAAGAATCCTACATAGAAAGTAGAATTTGCTCATTCAGCAGCATGGGATGGCCAAGTGCTGAGGTGTGGGAATTCATTTACTATTTTGGACTTAAGGTGGGCAATCACATGTTAAATGCTTCCTTACTGAAACCAAGTAAGCACACATTTGCTGATTCTCTGTTTTTGCCTGAATGGTGTATGGACAGAAGAGTAGTTATTGACTCAACAATAAGCTTCATTTGGATATGCTTCCCCTCCATCCCTCAAGTTCCTTGGAGGTCTTTAAGCAGAGGCTGGATGACCATCTGTCAGGAATACTTTGATTGGGAGTTCCTGCATAGCAGGGGGTTGGACTGGATGGCCCTTGTGGTCTCTTCCAACTCTATGATTCTATGATTCTATGATTCTAAGTTTGATACTTGTGTGTACATAAATGTTACAATTGTATTTGGATTTGTGTTTAATGCCCTTGAGTTGATCCTGACTCATGCCAACCCTGTGGATGAGACACCTCCAAGAATCCCTGTCCTTCATTACTCTGCTCAGTTCCTGCAAATTCATACTCATGACCTCTATTTAAGAGGTCCATCCATCTTGCATGCAGTCTTCCTGTCTTTATACTTCTCTCCATCTTTCCTAGCACCACTGTCTTTTGCAATGAGTCATGTCTTCTCATGATGTGGGCAAACTATGACAGTCTCAACTTTATCATTTTGGCTTCCAGGGAGATTTCAGGTTTGATCTGTTCTAGGACCTACTCGTTTGTCTTTTTGGCTGTCCATGATGTCCTCAGCCCTATTCACCAGCACATCATCTCAAATGAATTGATTTTCTTTTTATCCACTTTCTTCACTGTCTAGCTCTCACATCTGTACATGGCGATGGGAAATACAATGGCTAGTACAATCCTAACTTTTGTGCTCAGTTGCAATTGTCAGAAGATTTACTTAACTTTAAACTTTAAACTTTAAACTTAACTTTTTTAAAAAAAAACAACAACTATACCTTGGTGAAGTCTTTTATCAAAATGGAGATGGTAGGCTAGAAATCAGAAGAAGATTAAGACTTGAAAATCAGCTAGAAAGGAATTAGATATGATCCTCATGTGTGCCGTGCTACTGCTCTACAGCTGTAATTAATACCATTTTGATTTTTGTTACTTCAACAATGTGTATATGGCTGTATCTGCACTGCAGAAATAGTCCCGTTGGATACCATGTTAACTGTCATGCTTCAATACAGTGGAATTCTAGGAACTGCAAGCTTGTTACAGCACCAGATGGAGTTTGTTCACTCTCTGGCTTGTTGTTAGGTCATATAAAGGAACACCTTAATCATCCTTGTCCATTGCCATCACCAAGTTTACTAGAAATGGATTTGGGCCAGGCCTCATTTCATGTAAATACGAGGAGAGCCTGGTAAGATTCATGGACCACAATGGGGTCACATGTGCTGTAGGCTATATGATTCTCATCTGTGACAGAGGAAAAGGGGGTCAGGATTATGTTGACAGGGGAATATACACAAGTATTGCAGTGACTAGGGCTGAAAAATAGGAAGATAAATATGTAGGGTACATACTGTATACACTTAACTTTAAGTCAACCTCAGCTATTGGTCAAGGGTGGCTTTGGGGGTCAATATTATAGATGTGGTCCATATATAAGTCAAGGGTAAAACCTAGAGGCATGTAACAAAGGATCTAAAGGATGAAGTAAAGGAAAACAATCCCAAGGAACTTACAAAATTCCAGCAAGCATAACTGAT